CTTAATTTTAAGTTAGAAGTTATTTATAAGTTAAAGTTAAAAAAGAGATCTTAAAAAAAAAAGCCAAAAGTTATTTGATAATTACATAAAAAATTTAGCTTAAAAATTACTTAAAAACACATGTTTCAAGAAAATTATTTCTCTCTCCATCTTTATAACTCTTCATTTTAAAAAAAAAAATACACAATTCAAGAAAAACATATAAGAGCTTAAAAAAAGCTACTCCTAAGAACTTTTAGTTTTCAGCTTTTTTCTTCATTATAAAAAAAAGAGCTTTTCATTACAAAAACTTTTTCTAAATCCTGTTTGGCCTTAGCTTATGCTTATAAGTAGCTTCTAACTTAAAAAAAAGAGAATCCAAATAGACACTTCGTCATATATTTACGAACAAAAAACTAGCAGCCACCCTACTTACAATTATTTATGGGTTTTACTTTTATCCTTTAACATAACACAACAAACTTTCCTACTCTCACAACATTTTGTGGGGCCCACACTTTTTAAAACAAAAAAATAAATAAAAAATTAAGGCACGCAAAACGAATCTCTATAACATTACACAATCATTTTTCCTACAACATAACTCTTATAAAACCCATTATTTATTTATTGGTATTACGTATCCTATCTTTATTCAATGCTATAACAAAATTAATATTCTATAACGCCATCATAAATTAATAAACTTCTTTTAAAATGACTTGTCAACTAAAAAGGTTTAATAACTAACAAAGTCAACACAGTTGGTAGATAGCTGAGTTCTTTAAGCATGCTGACAGGGGTTCGATCTCTGGCTATGTGTATGGAAAATGCTTTATTGGAAAAGATTTATCTATTTAATGTGATCACCCGCCTCAAATGGATTAGTCTTCGACTGTCGGTTGAAGGATACTTTAAAAAACCAAAAAAGAAAAAGAAAAAAGGGTTTAATATTTTTCATATGAACCCAAAAAATAAGTATTTTTAGTAAATACAAGAAGTGAGCGAGATTTTTTTTTCCCTCTTTCTCACACGTGTTATTCATTTTTTTATGTCTCTTCTAGATATAACATTATCTTAAATTTATGAGAGAAATATTAAACTTATAATTAAAATTTTCCATTAAGACATGCACAGAACCTGGATGTACAGACCACCTAACCCATTCTCTCCTTTAATAATTGAGAATAGCTACCCGATTTGTAGTTGACATTATGGAAAAAATATTTATCTCTTTAAATGATATAAGTTATTGTGTCATTTTACTTTTATAAGAAGGTGAGATTCATGTCTTTATTTTTTTGTCCTCTTTTTCTTTCTCCATTATTTATTTCTTTCTCTCATTTAAAATAACACAATTTTATATCATTTAAAATGACACACATTTTTTGCATACAATATTATGCGTAGCTCTTATTATAAATGATTGATTTATAAAGCTATTAGGTATTCGGTATTTTGTAAAAGGTTATTGGTGCAAATCTATTATCTTGTTCTCGTTAAAAAAAATATTGATTCATAATAAACTTATCAACTTCTAATTCACAGGTTTCTAAATGATAAAAGCACATATATAAGACAGAAAAAAAATAAAACGTGGACTTATTAGTATATTGCTGTGAAAAGTACTTTACAAACTTCTGTGTAGCGTTCAACAATTCTGCTGGTATAAAGGATTAGTTTACATTTAAGTTTTGGTGTGAGGTCTCTAAAGACTAAAGAGAGCAATTCCTTATTCGAAAGTAAACAACTAGTTTTCCAAGTCAATAAATAGTCGATTGCATGTAATTATGATCAATACATGTACAGCTGATGAGCCGCGGTTATCAAATTTATAAATTAGTCATGTGATACTATTACTTGTTTTAAAATGTATAGGTTAGTCATGTGAATACATAATTATTATGAGATTAATGTTTCTCATGTTACAGAGGATAATTTTGTTTCTTACATTTACATATGGAAAAAAAGTTTCTGCAGTTAATGCAGACATTTATTTCCAAAACGACGTCGTTTTGATATTGAAATCTTAAAAAATTATAAATATAAAGATTATTATAACCCTAAAATAAATTAAAATTACAAAAATACCATGATTTCCGCCCCAAAACGACGTCGTATTGGGCTTACTGCAGATAACTTATCTGCAGTAACTGAAGAAAAAGCGAACCCTTTACATATACATATACATAAAAGTATGTGGGGTTTACAATTTTTTTTCCTCTTTTCGCAACACATGACCCCAACTGGGACCTACACTTTTATATATGTGTAGAATATAAAATTATATCCTAGAGAAATATTAATCCCAATCATTATCTCCTCATATATATATATATAAGAAAAAGTTGGCCATCCTATATATGTATAGGGCCTTTTATGTTGGAGCAGCTTCACAAGAAGAAGGTCTCAGTATTGAAGAATGTTGCACCTTTCGGGGAAGCTTCTCAAAGCTAGATATTCAATCTGGTAGCATCTTATGGCAAACCTTCATGGTACCTAATAACCATGGAGAACGAGAAGAATATGCTGGAGCAGCTATATGGGGAAGTAGCCCTTCCATTGATGTCTCAAGGAACCATATATATATTGGCACTGGAAACTTGTACTCTGCCCCTTTGCATATACGCCAATGTCAAGAAAGAGAGAATAATTTAACTAAACCTACTCATCCTGATGAGTGTGTTGAACCAGACAATCACTCTGATTCAATCATTGCACTTGACTTGGATAGTGGTAAAATCAAATGGTCCCACCAATTAGGAGGATATGATGTGTGGTTCTTTGTTTGCAATAACTTGTCAACACCTAACTGTCCACCAGGTCCTAACCCTGATGCTGATTTTGGGGAAGCACCAATGATGCTCACAATTGATGTAAATGGAACCAAACTAGATGTTGTTGTTGCTGTACAAAAAAATGGTTTTGCTTGGGCATTGAACCGAGATAACGGCAAGCTCATTTGGTCTACGGTAATTTTTTTTTTAAGAATTTCATTAATCATTGTCTCTCTCTAGTGCAGGATCCATGTTCATGTTTATATACATGTTGTCTGTTGAAAATTTTCATTTTTTTATATTTTTGCAGGAAGTTGGTCCTGGTGGGATTTCAGGAGGTGGAACATGGGGAGCAGCCACTGACGAAGAAAGGGTCTACACTAACATTGCTAATTCTGATGTCAAAAACTTCACTCTTTTACCATCCAACAAGACTACAACTAGTGGAGGATGGGTTGCAATGGAGGCAAAAAATGGTAAGATCTTGTGGTCCATAGCCAACCCCAGTAATGCCACTGCTTATGGTCCTGTTAGTGTAGCTAATGGCATTGTCTTTGTGGGATCCCCAAATGTTAAAGGACCTGTCTATGCAATAAATGGCAAGACTGGTGAAATTATGTGGTCTTATGAGACTGGATCGACAGTGTATGGTGGAATGTCCATTAGTGATGGGTGCATATATTTTGGAAATGGATATAAGATAAGTCTTGGATTGCTAATTGGAAACTTCACTTCTGGAACTTCGCTTTATGCCTTTTGCGTCTAAGAAAATATCTGTGGTTAGTGATGGAAATAAAGAAATATGATCCATGATCTCATGTCATGTGTTTTATGATTTTTTTGTGTGAATAAGATGGGCTCAACGTGCATTAGCAAGAAGTTGGACCAACATATATTCTTGGAATTCTCTGGACTCAATCAGATTGAAACGCATATATTTTGTTGATGTTTGGATATTAATTAAGGCTTGTGGTGCCATCATAATGGCTTTTGTACTCTTGTTTAAATGTTAAGCTTATGATAATAAGGATCATTTGTTGATGTTTGTGGTAAGTACAAAATGAGTGTAACTTATACAGAAGGATTAGTTATGTTTATGCTAATGGTGAGAAATTTAGATAATTTATTAGAAATCCTAATATTTCATTTGAGTGAGGTTCAAAATATTCCAACTTAAGCCCTGTATGGGATTTTAATATTTTCCATGTGAGATTTCGTTTTTGTAGCCCTGTATTTCATTAAACTCGGGTTCAAAATAACCAAAATAAAAATAGTCCCGCTTACCAAAAAAAAATAAAAAATATATAGTCCCTTGTTGGATCGAAGTATTCCAACTTAAGCCCAACTCAAAAATTATGCCTGCATTGTAACACTCTGTTCTAGAACCGATTTGTGAATATTATGTATGATATTAAGCGCAATTATAATCACAATAATTGAAATAGAATACGGATAAATTATTTTCTTTTCGTTAATGAATGTTTCTGTTTAAGATGAATTCCGTAATTAAAATAATTTCAAAACAAAATTGTAATAATAACTTAAACAATATGCAAAACACTTAAGGTTTATTTAACTATATCGCACATTGCTCTCACAAAGTGCCAAGTACAAAGCTTAAAACTCATTTTTATTCATATTCAACACTAAATCTCTTCACTTTTTCATTACTCAAGGAATTCGATATTTTCTCTACGATGCTCATCTCCGACTATATTATAGATCTCTTCGTTAGTTATGCGTGGGTCCAATCCACGCTAAATTTAAAGCACAGTAACTCAAATTATGAATTTTTGAAGAAAATAATACTGAATTTTATAAGTTTTGGCGCTATAAGAAAAAAAAAGAAAGAAAGAAAAAACCACATATTGGGATGCTTTCTTAAACAAATGGACCAAGAAGCTCCCAGGCTCACGACCACAGTCCACAAGTCCACAACCAATCAGATTGCATCTAAATATTGTTGTTAATTTTTACCTTAACTTGTTTTCATATAATCTCTCCTAATTCAATGCCCGCACCAACCATGTGTTGATGATGAATTTTTTTAGGTAATGAAGAAATGTTGAAGAGGATTTTACTGTGTTAACTTTTTATCTATTAAACCCTCGAAAATGGAAATCCATTGGGAAGTTGGAGACCGAACGATGACAAATAAGAAGCTTCACATGATATGCCTAGTCCATGTGGCCCAACCCAACTAGGCCTACTCAAAGTATCATATAAACAGTGAATGGAAGCCAGAAACAGCAGAGTTCTTTTATACACCCTTGCCCCATTGTCTTTCCCAGTTACCATTTAATTGCATACCCTGAATCTCTTGCAACCCCTTTATATGATCCATTAGCTAGTAGCTTTGGGACAGATGTCAGAACAAACTCTTCTTATCCTTACTTTGACAGCAAATTCCTGTACGAAAAAAATGACCAAGATCTTTGTGCTGCTGCTATGTCTACACTTAGCAGCTTCTGGGTTTGTCAATGGTTCTGTTAAGAAGGAAAATATTGGCATATTTGAGCTCAAGAAAGGTGACCTTTCTTTGAAGGTCACCAACTGGGGTGCATCAATTTTGTCCTTAGTCCTTCCTGATAAGAATGGTATGCCTCTATATTCTGTTCAAAACTTCAAATGTTGTTTGCAATAACCCCCCACAATTTGCATTATTGTATTCTTAAAATTTGTATCTGTCTCTGTGATGTATTTTCAGGAAAGTTGGGTGATGTTGTTCTTGGATATAATACAATTAAGGATTACACTGTGAGTCCACTCCGTACTCCTTTCAAAAAATTTGTTGCATATGTTTATCGATTGTTGTGTTTTTTGTTTTCTTGCTCAAAGGCTAAAGACATAGAAATCTACTCATTTTTCAACAACTTGGATTGATTCAAACATTTTCAGTCAAATGTGATTGCCAAGATTTGGAGTATAGTTTGTCAGTTACTCATAATTTCTTTCACATGAATTGGCTTCTAGTCACCACTTTCCAAGATAGAAAGCTATATACATTTTTTGGGGTTAATATTTCTCTACACATATAAAAATACTAGGAGCTTCTTCTTTTTTTTCTCTCTTCTCTTCACATGAGTTTCTCACACTTTTATGTGTATAGAAAATAATTATATCACCTACTATATGGAAAAGATTAATCTCATATTTTTTATGTATGTGATAAGGATAACTTTGACGTTTTATATCAATCCATTGAAAAATGAGTCTACATTTAAGTTTAGCTTTGAATAAAAGAAGGGCATCATTGGCCTTTGATAATTTTCAATGTCCCTTTCCTAGATGTTTCCATGTTGACAATTTCTATGCTTGATGCTCGCTGGGCTACATATAAAAATGTGTTGCTTTCTATTGTGTAATTACCTACAACTTTTCTTTTGCATATCTGTGATGAGGTATTTTTATAATTTAAAAGAAAAAAAAAAGCATATATTGATGAATTATTTAATATCGATGTAGATAGTACAGGTGTGCTGGCATACAAACGTGTTATGGGTTGGAACTGGGGGAGTAATATCCTTAAAAAGAAAAAGAACTTCTGCGATCCCCGATCCCCGGGAACTCCGGGGTTACAATGATGCTCTTGGTATAATAAGTCGTTGCAATAATCATTATATGTTTCGCATAATAATTAGTATGAAAAACAAAACAAAAACTTTGATTTGCTTTAAGATTTAATTTTGTAACGATAAGATTCACAGGGAAAAAAAATCTAAATATATATAGGGATAAGATATTTTATATATCTTTTTTCATGTCTATCTTACCTATTTATCTCTAATATTATTATATCAAAATCTCAATTAATTTTTACTCTTTCTCTCTTTATTTGAGATTATAATCCAATGATATTGGAGATAAATAAATAGAGGAGGCTGATAAATAATTAAGCATAATAACATATTCTATATATTAATATGAATGAAAAGGTAAAGTTCCGAACTTCATATTTTTCAAGAACTGTTTTATGATTAGTTTTTCTGCCTTAATATTAATTTTAAAAATTTTAAACTATTTTAAGTGAATTATTATTTTTAAAAAATAAAAATAAAATTATTTATAATTAATATTATCTCTTAATATTTTTTATTAAGTAAATAAAAAATTTAATAAAAAAATATATTTTAGGTAAATATAATTTTTTTAAATTAAAATGTCTTTAATTACTTCTTTAATTGTTATATAAAATCTTAAATAATAATTTTGAAATAAAAGATGTATAATTACACAAGTTCTATTGTAAATATGTTCAAAAAGTAAATTCTTTAATGTAGAAATGAACAAACTCATACTGAAGATTAGGTTGGAAGGTCTGAAAAGACATTTACTTTTGGTTCAATTACTATTTTTTCTAAAGTTATTTTAGATAATTTTATCTAATGTTCATCGAAACAACATCGTTTTGAGATTGAAATTATTGTATTTTTGTAATTTTCATTTATTTTAGGGTTATAATAGTCTTTATTATTCTAATTTTTTATTTTTAACCCAAAACGACGTCGTTTCAATGAATATTAGACAAAATTATCTAAAGTAACATTAGATATTTTTTTTCTTACTAAATATCGTGAAATCTTCCAAAACTTTTCGTACAGTGCAAACCACTGACCACAAAGTAAATTAAGGTTCGCTTATTTCTACCCAAAAAAAAAAATATTAAGGTTCGCTTACCGAAAAAAAATTAAAAAAAAGAGTTACGGTTTTATTTTTTAAAAAATTATAAATTGAGTGATAAAAATAAGGGAAATATGTCTTTTATTTTGTACGAGATAATTTTATTTTATGCAATACATATAAAATGAATGAAACTCACTAAGAAGAAAAGAGAAAATAAAATAAAATAAGTGAGCTTCATCTATTTTTTGTGTATGCATAAAATAAAATTGTCTTATGTAATATAAGAGACATATTTGCCTAAAAATTATTGATTAAATAGTAAAAGCATGTAACTTCTATAAATCTGTAACTTTTACTTAATTTATAACATTTAACATAAAATCTATAATTAAAAAACAATGTAGGTCTTGTTTTTTCTTCAGAAGATTGTTGAAGTGACCCCTGCAAAGTGCAAACTATCCTTTGATCTGTTAAAATTTGTTCTTTTTGTTTGTATCTGGCTTCTCACACATTGAAGATAAAGATAACATGTAACTGAGTGATTGCCATGCGAAACTATTTGCAGAATGATACAACATACTTTGGAGCTACTGTTGGCCGGGTTGCTAACAGAATTGGAGGAGCTCAGTTTAGTCTAAATGGAATCCATTACAAATTAGTTGCTAATGAAGGAAACAATACACTTCATGGTATGTTTAAATGTTTAATCATAACTATAGTATAAATTCTCTGCTTATAAGCAGAGAATTTATACTATAGTTGCATAGTCCATTTAGTACCACATCTCATATAGAATATACTCATAGTCCTCTATCTTCCCTATTAATTAGGTGGATCCAGAGGATTTAGTGATGTTCTTTGGAAAGTAGAAAGGTATCAAAGAGAAGGTCACAATCCCAGTATTACCTTCACTTACCATAGTTTTGATGGAGAAGAAGGTAAACAATGCCATTTTCTACATTGCTTCTATGTAGTTGAACTTTGATACATGATACCTCTATTAATTTCTAAAAAAGGAAATAGAACTGCTGATATGTGATTTGTATGCTCCAATTGTGTTTCAGGATTCCCTGGTGATCTTCTAGTAACTGTGAGTTACATTCTAACTAGGAAAAATCAGTTGGTTATAATTATGAAAGCAAAAGCTCTAAACAAGGCTACTCCAGTGAATCTGGCCAACCATGCTTACTGGAACCTAGGAGGCCAAAACAGTGGAAATATTCTGAATGAGGTGGTTCAAATCTTTGGTTCCCAAATCACAGTTGTTGACAGCAAACTCATTCCCACAGGAAAATTTGCTTCTGTGAAAGGAACTGCTTATGATTTCCTTAAGCCATATACTATTGGAAGCAGGATCAACCAGCTGGCTGAAACTAAAGGTTATGACATCAATTATGTGCTGGATGGTGAGAAAGGCAAAAGGATCAAGCTAGCAGCAATAGTGCAGGATAAGAAATCTGGAAGAGTGTTGGAGCTTTACACTAATGCTCCTGGTTTGCAGTTTTATACTGGGAACTATATAAAAGATGTGAAGGGAAGAGGTGGGTATGTATATCAAGCTCATGCAGGACTATGTTTAGAGAGTCAAGCCTTCCCTGATTCAGTAAATCACCCTAATTTTCCTTCAACAATTGTGACCCCAGAAAAGCCTTACAAGCATTATATGCTTTTTAAGTTTTCCACCAAAGCTCCCTATGAATTTAGAGAGACCTAAGAACAGTTACCTTTCCCACATTTCTAGTATACCACGTCCACGGTCAATCGTTGTAACATAACTCTCGATTTCATCCAAACTCGGGTTCATTAAAATGAATAATGAGAGACCCTTCATTAGTCTCATAGTTAGTAGAGCTTCAGAACCGTTTCCCTAAACATAACTTGCTTCGGATTTGCTGCTTTTTATTGATATTAAAGCTTCATTTTTAATCATTGGAAAAAACAATTAAAGAATATCAATATTTCTTTATTTTAACAGTTGTCTTAATTGTTTTAATCAAATAATTACATGGACAAAACTGCTCTAATTAAAACCTCAGGACACTAAATTGTACTTAATGAGGGGTGTTCCTGATCTTCACAATTTGAATGAGCATTCAATAGAGTTAATTATGCGTAAACTGTTCCAATCACTTTAGTTAGCAAATTTAAATAATGCATTCTCTTCCTTTGATTAACGCGTTGATATGCTTCATTAACACGTGGTCAATGAATAAAAGTCGTGTTGACCCGCAAGTTCTGACTTCTAAAATTTGTTAATGAATCTTTTATGTTAAAGTATCAACCTTATACAAAAAAATATAAATAAAAAAGATCTTTTATGATACTGTTTGTCATGGCTATGCCAATTCCCAAAAATATGGTGGTAGGAGCTTTGTGCAGTATGCTTGTTATATCTTGGACTAGTTTCTGCATTGCAATTGTGTTTGATGCAGCATTTGAATTATCACCACTAGACTTAGAAGCACAAGCTCTGATTGAAAGTGGGTGGTGGAGTGACTTCACTAACTATGTTCCAAGTCATTGCCAGTGGCCAGGCATTGCATGCAATAGTGCTGGAAGCATTACAAACATTTCTTTGCCTGCTGAAACCCAATTGGGAGACAAGTTCAGGAGATTCAACTTCTCTTCATTCCCAAACCTTGTCCACCTCAATCTTGCTGCACATGGGATCACTGGAAGTATCCCAAATGAACTAGGTACTCTTTCCAAACTTGCTCATCTTGACCTATCTTCTAATGATATTCAAGGACATATTCCATCAAACATTTGGAATCTAAGGAATCTGGTGATCCTGAACCTGGCTAGTAACAGGCTTAGTGGTTCAATTCCACCTTCTGTGGGTCAGTTGACTAAGTTGACCTATTTATTTCTTGATACCAATCTGATTAGTGGTCCTATCCCTCCAGAGTTAGGAAAGCTGAAGAATCTGATTCAATTGGGTCTAAATAATAATGGTTTTGTTGGTCCAATACCTGCTGAGATTGGTCTATTGAACAATTTGAAATATCTGTCTCTCAGTGTGAACAATTTAAATGGTACCATACCTTTGGAAATAGGAAATTTGAACAATCTTGCATATCTTGATCTTAATACTAACAATCTCACTGGTGAAATACTTTCAGTTTTACATAATCTAACCAATTTGACTGAACTAAACTTGTCCAACAATGAGATTTCTGGTTTGGTGCCACGAGAGTTTACTCAATTGACCCAACTCGAGTATCTGAAAATTTCAGAAAACAAAATTTTTGGTGCATTACCTCCTGAAATTGGAAAACTGTCCAAACTCTTGGTTTTAGACCTGTCTAGAAACATGTTGACTGGAGAAATCCCAGTCAGTCTTTCTACATGCACTAAACTGCAGGTGTTGACTTTGAGCCATAACAAACTAACCGGAAGCATTCCCTCTCAGATTGGTGATATTGTTACACTTGCTTCAATTGATTTGAGTCATAACTTAATTAAGGGAGAAATACCTTATCAACTTGGGAATGTGAAATACATTAGGGTCTTGGATCTAAGTTGTAATGAACTCACTGGAAAGATTCCAAGTTCCCTAGTATTGCTTCGTAGTGTAAACTTGTCCTACAATTCTCTAGAGGGTGAGATCCCATTTGGTGTCCAAGATTCTTATGCTCCTGATGCATTCATTTGCAATGAGTGTTTATCTAGCCGCAGCACCCCCTTTCCTACTTGTGACTCCTCTTCTTCCAATAGAGTCAAGACCCTTATGAAGATTTTCCTTCCTCTCACTGCTTTTCTTGCTCTTCTATGTATCATGTATGTGTTCTTCCGCTGGTGTAAGGCTAAGAGTTCCAAGTCTGTGGCAAAAGCAATGAAGAATGGTGACCTGTTTTCAGTATGGAACTATGATGGTAAAATTGCTTATAATGACATAATTGAAGCAACGGAGGGTTTTGACATCAAATATTGCATAGGAACTGGTGGTTATGGTGATGTTTACAGAGCACAGCTACCTAGTGGTAGAGTAGTGGCCTTGAAGAAACTCCACAATTTAGAAGCCAACGAACCAGAACTCCGCAGGATTTTCAAGAATGAAGTGAGAATGTTGACAAAAGTAAGGCATAGAAATATTGTGAAGCTTTATGGATTCTGCTTGCACAACAGATGCATGTTTCTGGTTTTGGAATACATGGAAAGGGGAAGCTTGTATTATGTTCTACACAATCACATTGAAGCTGTGGATTTGGATTGGAACAAGAGGATTAACATTGTGAAAGGAATAGCATATAGCTTATCATACCTTCATCATGATTGCAAGCCAGCAATCATTCACAGAGATGTAACAACCAAAAATGTTCTCTTGAATTTAGAAATGGAGGCTTGTCTCTCTGACTTTGGCATAGCAAGACTTCGAAATTCTAGTTCCTCCAATCGAACAGTACTTGCTGGCACTTACGGATATCTTGCACCAGGTGAGTTTTGTCATGCATTCTGCTTCAGTTTCCATTATTCTCAAAATGGAATAAGTTTTAAGTACTACTCTAATACCTCATATTTGTATGAAATAAATAGAGTTAGGTGAGTCATATATATTTGTATAACATTAAAAGTAACTAATACTAGAGGAGTAGTGAAAATTTATTCCACAAAACGATTTATGTTTTTCTAACTTGGTTCCCCTTTTGATACAGAACTTGCATATACCGATTCTGTGACAGAGAAATGTGATGTCTACAGTTTTGGAGTGGTTGCTCTTGAAATTATCATGGGAAGGCATCCTGAAGAGATTATTTCTTCATTAAGATTTGCATCCACTAGAAGTATTCTCCTTAAAGATATATTAGACCCCAGATTATTATCCACCAACAATCAACAATATGCTCAGAGTTTGGATCGTATAGCAACGCTAGCCTTTGCATGTCTTCATTCTCAGCCAAGGTCTAGACCAACAATGCAAACAGTGTGTGACAAATTTCTCACCGGAAAGCCCAGATTAACAAAACCTTTTGAAGAAATTTCAATAAGGCAGATGGTAAATCAGGAATTGTAACTAATTTCTAGGATGTCATCATATGAACTTCGCGTGGCAGTTTATATTTTCTGCTTCCTTCATTCTTGGAATCTTGGTGTTCTCTTTTACTTCAAAAAAGAAAAAAGAAAAATAAAACTATTACGTGCATTTTTTTCATTGTTTATTTACACCACATAAAATTACTATTTTTTCATTGTTATATTTCTATTCATTGGTGCTCGCTGTTTGAGTTGAAAATTAGGCTTAATCGCATTTTTCAACATAATTGGATAATTAACAGGGCTCAATATTTTAGATATGACTTGAGTTCTAAATATTTCTCAAAAAGGAAATTGGAACCATAAAGTTGGTGTAAATAATTGGTGTAAATAAATTGGAGCCATGAAGCATGTCTTGTAGATCAAAATGGGCCTAGAAGCATAAGCAGGGCTAGAGAACCATGTTCGAGCTGAGATTAATTGGTGTAAATAAATTACAATCCTCATTCAGAAAAGATTATGATTATTATTGTCTTTTCTTTTCTTTTTGTCTCTTCAACGAAAGGTTAAATAATTACGTTTGATTTGATTTGTTATATTTTCATATTTACGTTATATTCTTTTTGGTATCTTGAGCGGTAATCGTACTTTTTATTTAGGAAATAAACATAAAAATCACCATTTTAATTTGAGAGAGAGAAAAAGAAAAAGAAAAAATATCACTACAGATTCAAAATTGACAAATAGATTAGCGAGCTTCTTTTATTACTTTTCAAATCAATTACACAACAAATTACTTAAATAATTAAGGCGAGTTGATAACTCTGAGAAATAATAACATGATAATTTAAAAAAAAAAAAAAATATTCGTAATAAGCAATTCCAAATTCTCAATGATCCAAACCAAATACAATAATTTTGACCTTCTGATGTAGTGAGGAGCACATTAATGTTTGGTTTCGTGAGGAATTTCCATAGCTGCTTTGAGTATAATCTCAAATGCACTTTGCATGCATGACTTCAATTTCTGTTCGTCTATGAAATCTTTTTCCGTTTTGAGGGCAACTCTTAGCGTTCCCATATAGCTCATAATTGAAATGACAAGACTCTGCAACCCATAAAATCAAAGGATGCTTAAATAGTGTCCATATATGTAGTATCAGGGAAATTTTTAATATGATCCTGTTTCTTCATGGTCCTCCCATTAAGACACTGACGCATGAATTTTTTTTTTTTTTTTCACTCTTCTCTCTCCTCTCTCTTCAATTTTTCTCTCACTCTCTCCCCTTCACCCCACCCAATCCCTTGTGGGCTGGAACCGCCAAATTTAATCTCGTAGTATCACTTCAATAAAGTGAAGGAGCGTTGGGTAGAAAAATTGTACTTTCCCATTCTTGCTATTATTAGATTACTTTATGAAAAAAAAATATGTATTATTTCAAAGGATATAAAATTGTGTCATTTTAAGTTATAGAAAAAAATAAATTATGAGAAAAAAAATGAACAAAAAAAATAAAGACAGAAGTCCCAGATCTTTGTTAAAATGAAATAACACAAGTTATATCATTTAAAAAGATAAATATTTTTTTCCTTACTTTATATAATATTTTTTCCTCTAAAAGAAGGGAATCAATTTATTTCTTGTACCTCAGCCACCCTACCATTACCACTTCAATTCAATTTACGGGGAAAAGGTTATATTTATAAATATTTTATTTATAAATTTTTATAAAGTACATTAAATATGATTGGTTATACACTCTTTATTGAAGTATGATCGGTCATACTTCTAATCAAGAGTATATGACCGGTCATACTTAATATAATTTGTAAAAAAAAAAATTGTAAACGGATCCTTCTCCCAATTCGTATATTCTCACGTGATGATCAGGTAAAGAAGGAAAAGGGATTGAGGATTATACCTCAGGTCCACCAGCCAAAGTGAAGTAGAAGCCTTTAACTGGATGATTAGCTAAAGACATTTGTTGTACAGGTCCAACCAAGTTTGAAATCACTGCACTTGACTTGGCTATTGTACCACGAATGTGTTTAGCTACTGCCTGCAATAACATGGACCAACTTATAACCATTGAAGCATTGTGATTGAAGTTCTTATATACATTATTTTCATCAAATGGTAACGTGAATTTGAGAAGATATATAAAAACTAAAATGAACAAAAGCACAGACAATACTGGTAAGAGAAGAGAACACATAATGTTATCATGTTCAATTTCAATTTATATAAACGTACCAACCTCTTGTCCTCTGAATTTGCTCTCCATGTCCAAAAGTGTCCCTGTGAGTGCAACAGCTAAAGATTGTTTCTTTCTCTTGATTATATTATGTGCTTCCCAAATAAATTCTAGAGGGCTTGAAATTCTGCTTCCATTTAATTTCGGTATAGGTATATGCAAGAAGGAAATTTTATTCCCCCAAGGACCCTTTGATTTAGTATTTAGCATGTCATTGATTGACTGGTAACCTTCAATGTTTCTCGTATTGAGTAATACCAATGCGGTGGAGTTTGCTGTCTTTGATTTTGAGTCCATATCTTGCATATATAACCGAGTCCCATAGAAGACTATTCCAGTGACCACATCGTTTATAGTCTGCAATTGGATAGAATAGTGCAAAGAAAACAACAGGTGGTATATAAGGTTATTCCATTCCAAAATCAGGCAACCATATATTAATAACGTGTATATTCTTTTCCTAAACTTTGGGCAACTAATAGATTTCAAGAGCTTATCATATTTTCAATTAATGCTAATTAAGTGGACCACTCTTTTATATTTTATGTTATTCTGTATATGCACAAGAGTATTTTAATCAATATTAAACAATGCCGTATTATTTCTTGGTGTCCACATATTATTCCGACAAGTAGGTGCTCTAATAAAAAAAAAAAAAAAATAGGCATTCTTATATGGTCGGTTGAGAAGGTGAAATGCAAAAACAAAATTTCAACAACCAAAAATTGTTTTCATACCACTCCAAGCCTGGTTTTGATGTCCTTGATTCGGTCAACGGAGAATGCCATGCTTGATATGGAAATTGGATGAAACTCGGCTCCTTCATCTCCAGACCTTATTGGTGTTTTATCATCATTAATGATGCTACTCTTCAATACACTCCATCCAAAATCTGAGACAGTATTGAAGGCTGAGGACAACATCCAAGAAAATCTTCTATAAAAGCTTTTGGTGGAAGATTCTTGTTTTGATGATTTGAGAGAAGGAAAAGACAAGGGAAGGGAAGGATCATCAGCTCTTTGTAGACAAGAAAGAAGTGCACCCATGAGAGAATAACCATCTCCAAGTGCATGGTGAAGCTTAAATATTACACTGCCAGATGCATCACTTGTAGGGTAATTGACTATGTGAATTTCCCATAATGGTCTTCCTTGTGGTAGTTGCTCTATAGCTATGCTTGACAAATAATCATGAAAACACTTGTCATATGATTCCACTGTTTTGCCTTCAGGGAATATGGGGATGTTGACATGGTCTTTCAGGTTTACATCAACTTTCTTCCATCGTTTCTCTCCACTTTTTTCTGGGACCTGTTCTCATAAATTTGAACAATACTAGTCAACATAAAACCATGTGATATGAAATTGATAAATGCTTAAAAATGATCATACTTGGTACATTCTTATTGATGAGATAGTGAACCATGTATAAAGACAGAGTAAGCAAAGATGCAACAAAATGTACAAAGCAAATATATTAATGCAACGTATACAATAGGAAATAATTAATAGCGTTATGGAGAGAGGACCATGACAGAGGAGAAGCGTGGATTGATGGGAAGGAAAACATCTTTAAGAAGAGCCAAGGTTTGCAAGTCGTCTAAGGGAACTTCAAATTCTAATACTGCAATAATATATATGCATATTGCAGAGCTGTTAAAGTATTGTCCCATAGGACTAACTGGTTCTGCTTGCTCCTCTTTTTGGTCTTCCATAGTACTATATACTCTCTGTTCCATGATCAGAGATATATATGAAAGCTGCAAATTAAATCAATGAAGTTTTACCTCCTGAGAGTTGAGGGGGAAATGGAACTAGCTATATATATAGTAGATAATAGATTAGAAGAAATTTGAGAAAACGAGAAAGACAAACGATAGAAACGTGCCAGCATTATCTTGAGATTATTGAGCCATGTGGTAATTAATTTACCTTTAAAATTGAATAACAAGTTTTATACTTTGATAAGAACAAGGCAATGCAAGAGTGACAGATCAACCACAGGAACCAGAAATTTAGCTGCCAGTCAAACAATTTTGAAGATACTAATACGTTAGACGAAATGGGAATTGTTTCTTAAAACTACTGTAACACATACTTCCAAATAATTAATATTGATTTTTAAAAATTAAACCTTTTAAATGCTGTCTTACCTTTTGATATGACTGTAACGTCCGGACGCTGACGACGGCGGGGATTGATTGTCGGTGAGAAAGGGCATGGACAAGGAGCGGCTTCTGGCAGGTTTCCAGCGACGGGTACATGAATGAATCGAATCAACGCCCGAAAGACTGTGCTGTTATGGGACGGTACAGTTGGGAATAACTTATAAGAATTAATTAGTACCTATACTAACAAGATGCATCTATTTTTCGGTAGCCCGGAACCAGTGACGGAGCCCAGGTCAAAAAATTATATGGGTATTTATTTTTCTACTTGAGCAGAAAGCATGGAAAGAAATTATAATTTTATTAAATATTTTAAATTTTATTGAATATATTTTAGGGAAAACTTTAAAAAAAATCCTATTAGTTTTTTTAATTATAACTTACCCCCTCACAAATTTTTTGAATCATTTACATCCTTATTTAAATTTTTTTTATCACTTACCCATGACTTAAAGTTTTTTTTATCATTTATCCCCCTAAGTTAGGAGGTAAATGATAAAAAAAAAAAATTTAAGTTAGGTAGATAAATGATTCAAAATTTTGGAGAGAGGGTAAATAATTATGAAGAAAGTTGTAAGGGTTTTTTTGAAGTTTTTTCTATATTTTAATTTTTTTATATAAATGAAAATGGAACACATAACTTAATACAACTTACCCAAATCTCTCACCAAATATTTTTTTTTGATAGAGCCAAATTACAAATTTTAGCCCGGGCCAAATTATAATTTTAGACTGGGCCAAATTATAATTAATTATATAATTATACATGATAAATATAATTTGTTAAAATTTAGCCAAGGCTGAGGCCACACCTAGCTACAACGTGGCTCTGCCACTGCCCGGAACGAAAGAACTCCTTAGTTAAGCATGCTTGACTTGGGACAATTCTGGGATGGGTGACCTCCTGGGAAGTTTTTTCGAGAAGTGTGCAAGTGAGGACAAAGTACGCTGAAATGTCTCGTATTAGTATGTGAGGACAGTCGTTGATCCTTGCAAGTTGTCAGGCGTTACAATGACAAACATTCTTAAATAGCTAATTTAAATACGTGTAAATTTATTCAAATACTTGTAGAGTTAGTATTGTGAGGATGGCTGTCGGCAATTTCTAATAGGATATATTTATATCTTCAATAATTCATCAATAATTTATGCCACCAATTTTGTAAGATAAAGGGATTATTATTGACGGTTGAAATATATATGCAACAATATTATTTTTTACATAGCTTCCATTATACCTTTTCTAAATTCTTTTTATAGTAATTAAACAAGAGGAATATCCTTCCTAATAATTTTTTTTAATCTAATCTAGTTTAGTCTGATTCGAGCATTATCAAAACCATATTGGGAACGGATCTTGGGACACTTTTTTTTTTCATTCACTGAACTTGAACAAGATCTCTAATTAAGAGGAGCAAGTTATTTGGCCCTTTAACCAATAGGTGTAACAAAAATTAAAAAAATAATAATTAATGTGCAAGAATTATTTTCCTGAAACGTAGATTACAATTTACATTGACTTATCTTTATTTGACAAATTACGACAATTTTTAGCAGTTCTTGAAGTACATGCAGCAGTTTTATAAAAGTCAAAGTATGCCTATTGCTTTTCATACTTTGTGTGTTAGCAGATTGAATCATGAAAGACGTTATACTCTAATTATAAAAAATAAAAAAAAAATAAAAAAAAAACTTTATACTCTAAACAATTATACTTTGAGTTAGGTCAACCATCACCATCTAAGATTGCTGGCTAACTATATACCACCGAAAATTAAATAACGAACCTGACCGTAGTATGTATTGTCCGTATGTTTGTCTGCAACCTCACATCATAAATACGACCCATACTGTGTGCTAATAAATTCAACCATTTCATACTGTTGATGTTTTAAAGATGAATGATATATATACATATAGAGTCAGCTTCTGTAGATGATCCTCTTGCCCGATTAATCGTCCGTTTATAAATAATGTGATGCTCCCATTTCATCATTGAATTTGAAAGGGATTGAACAATGTATATATATAAGTAATGGACATTTGAAAACTTGAGCAATTTTTTCGAGCCAAATATCTTAGACCATGTGCCATGGACAGGATAGCAGATAATTAATAATAGAAAAGTATTATGCACAGACGGAAGAATAAAATTCATGAAATGGAAAAATGAAGTTCAAGCGAGAGACTCGTGTTCTCTAATTACCATCATATGATTCGTTTTTTACAACAAAGACAAAAGCTGCTGGTATTTTCACCTAAAAACAACTAAAATAGATAAAACAATGTTAAATTAGAGGAGAGGTTGATTTTACTTGCGGGTAAGCTGCAAAGAAAGCATATAAAAGACCATAACCTACCAGCTTTCATGACAAATTAATGAAATTGATATTAATTATGTAGCACACAAACAATGTACATATATAAGATTTGGTTTAGATCTAAAGTTCTTTTTGTGAATCAAGAAAGGTTAATTTTTATTGTTTAGGTAGAAGTACTGAGAATGGAAGAATGGACGGAGAGGAAAGAAATTGTCCATGTTTATAAGCATCAGTATCATTGTTATTCTATAAATTATTATTATCCTTACTTCATCTTCATCTAATCCTTCTTATTTCACTTTTAAACACATATCTAGTTGTACCTGTAAATGTCGGAAGAAGAAAACTTTTACACTTCGAAATTAGCCATCAACATAATAAAAATATAATATAAAATTATTCATGTACTGTCACTTAATAGGTTAAATTTTTGAAAGAATTGGTTCATGACATAATATCATAGGAACATTCATAATTTAAGTCCAAATTACTGTTGCGTAAAAGAATATATTAAACTACTTAATTTTTTAAGAGATTAATCAATTAGTTCATGAGAGAAAATATTTGGAATTATTAAAAAATATAATCTTATCAATGAAGTGGGATGATTCTAATTACTGTATAAAAATAATCTAAATATCTTGGAACGTAGACCATAAAGTATCAATGAAGTGGGATGATTCTAATTTAGTAGATAGGTTAGCACAAGGCAAAAAAATATCAGAATAAAATAGATCCCATAAAGTAAAAAAAAAATAAAAATAAAGAAAAGACCAAAAACATCTAAATAAAAAAGAATAAAGTAGATCAAGGACAAAATAAAAAAAAATTAAAGAAAAAATAAATTCAAATATATTGAAAAATCATATTTGTGATTTCTTTTTGTTTCTTTTTTTATTTTATTTTTTATCTTAATTTTTTCTTCTATTTTTCATCATCATGTTTTTTTTGTCATTTGGTCTAATTTTATTATTTTAATTTTAGTTTTTCGATCACTATTGTGATTTTTAACATATTTGAACTTTTTTTCTTCTACTTTTTTTGTTTTTATTTTTTTTATTTAGACACATTTATTTATTTTTCTATTTTTTCTTTTAGCCTTATATTAAGTGTTCTAAATTTTCATAATATTTGGTCTTATTTTTTTTACTACTTCATTTTTTCCTTCTAAAAAATTAAAATAGATATATTTAGTTATGTTCCTAATAATATTGAGCAGGGGTGTTGATGAAAAAATCACATGAGACTAAATAATTAAAAAAAATATAGGAATATAAGTGTTCAAAATAATGGGACATTGACCATACTGACACGCTAGTGATTAAAAAAATACTGGTATGCCACGCTTTGATGAAATTTTGTCAAAATGCCATGTCACATTCTCGCTACACCTCCCAGCGATAATGGACTGTACACGTGGCAGCGTTTACATGGTCATTCATTCTAGCTGAGAAGCCCAGCGAGAATGACAGTATACTGACACATGGCAAAAGTACAGACATTCTCTCTGGGCAGCCCAGCGAGATTAGTCACCTGAACAGCTTTTGCAGATATTGCCTGTATTTTGCCACGTGTCAGCATCTTGTCATTTTGGTTGAGCTGCTCAACTAGAATGGTTGACCATGTAGACGCTGCCACGTGTTCAGTCTATTCTCGCTGGGTGGCGTAGCGATATAATGTGACGTGATAGTTTGACAAAAAAAAAATTGGTATGACAATCCGATAAATTTTTGCCTAAAAGGTGAAAAATGGTCGTTGTACCCAAAATAATAGCACATGAGGTTTTTCAATTTTTTCCAAATTGGCAAATTTGTTTTTGGAAAAAGAGCAAGGGGAGAAATAGAGAATGGACAGTGTAACACCCCGTGTTAACCCAGTTTGTTAACATGTCATCGCTTAATTAAAATTGCGGAATATTCTTTTTCTTTTCGTTTATGACGTCATTATTCTTACCAAGTTGAATTACTTAATTCATTTCCAAAACATTGCTTGTATGTAAATGCAAAAGACAAACATCTATACTGAAATAACCTCATAACATAATTAAGATCATTAACTGAGTCTCTAGTCACGGCACTACTACACGTAGCTGGACAACCCTAATAGTTTATACAACCCAAATCTAATCAAAACATAATCCAATGTGGCATGGACAATCCCTATGCTCACCAAATAAGGCAACAAGGCCCAACAACAGCAACATAATAAAATCAAGCTAAAAACATA